TACAGATGAATAACAAATATATTTTCTCAGTATGTACAAAGGGTTATTTAGTCAATAAACAATAAGATGATGAAATACATGCAAATAAAAAATAATTAATACAGTGAAATATATTCAATATTAATGAAAGTAAAACAGTATTAAATCTACATATAACGCGGCTGCATAGGCAAGATGACAGTCAGCAATCGTAGCCTTTCATATTCAGCTGTTTTAACTGATTGACGTGTGGTTATTTGGACATAATACTTATAAAAGCATGCTCGAAGGAGACACACACCCATGCACGAAACAAACGCACACAAACACCATGTGTGTCTCCGTGTGCACATGCACATGCGCAAACTGCCGTAAGTATATTCTACATCTAAACATATAACGACACGCTGTCACGCTGCATAAGTAAAGTAGGTACTAACATTTTCTTATTTACAGTAATAAAAGAAGAAGAAAAATGGGGGACGCCGACATGAAAGGTTACAAAATATCACTGTAGCTTTCATTGAGGAATTAACGACAATTTTTATAATGAAACAAATATTGGTTTACAAGAACTTCCTCCCGCAGAATAAGTGCATTCCTGACACTTTCCCCCACAAGTTGGTTACTAATCTTTGAATTAAATACCTTAGACAACTTAACCCATTCACGACGGGCATGTCACGCACGTCCATGCCCGTGTGAGTTTACTTGTTTAATTGTTTTTACGCATAGATGGCCACACGTACTAAATTACCAGTGAGCCAATTACGAGTACTGCCTGTCTCGCCCGTTTACCCTTTTCTTTAATTTACGAAAATATTTTACGTTATCTTGACACTTCGCCCACATCATTCCCATATTGAAAGGAGAGGATAATCCCAGATATGCCATCTCCTACCTCCTTGCTTATGCAAGGTTATGGAACGAATTGTTAACAGTAGGCTCTTGCATTTTTTAAAGTCCAGTAATTTGCTAATTGACGAGCAGTACGGTTTCCGAAAGGGACGCCAAACTCTCGATCAACTAGTAAAGCTGGACAGTCATATTCAAGAGGCAATTCCCCAAAAAAGATGATTTCATATCAGTATTTTTAGATATAGAAAAAAACCTACATGACATGGCGATATGGCCTACTCAGAAAACTTTATGCTTTTGAATTACGTGGAAACTTGCCTTGCTTTATTCAAAATTTCATCTCTGACAGAACTTTTTCTGTCAAATTGTTTTCTGACAATGTCACTTTTTCTGACATTTTTGTCCAGGCAAACGGGGTCCGACATGGAAGTGTCTTGTCACCAACATTATTTCTATGCATGATAAATGACATCTTACCAGCTCCTCGGCATCTTAAATACTCACTGTACGCTGATGATTGTGCATTATGGCATTCCAGCAATAATGCAGACTTCTCGGCAAATCGCATCCAACTGGCAGTCGATATGATTCATATCAACTAAAAATTCATATCAACTTAAAACCCAGCGGGGCTTTATGTTTTCCACTAGAAAGAGTATTGGGGTATTTTTTTTCACTTAGGAGGAGGCCGAACATCAGGCTATCTCTAGACAACCACCCAATACTTAATCAAAATTCTGCTAGATTCCTTGGTCTACTCTTTGATAGTAGGCTCAATTGGAAAAAACCCACATTGGTCAGTTAAAGAATAAATGTCAAAAAACACTAAATTTATTAAAGTCCATTTCTGGTAATAAATGGTGAGCTGATAGAAAGTTTTTACTAATGATATTAGGTCTAAAGTAGATTATGGGTCAATCGTGTCTGGCTCGGCATCGAAAACAAGTTTGAAAGGTTTGGATGCTGTGCATGTTAGAGCCCTAAAATGTACTCGGATCGAGCGTCTTGAGGTGGAGTCAGGAGTACCTCCCCTCCGACTCAGACGTGGCCAGTTAGCACTGACCTATGCGGCAAAGGTTGCTCGAGACCCGAGCCACCCTAATGGCAATGGAGGCACTAGGCCCTTTGCCACGCGACTCTACGACCTCGTCGAGAAAGTCGGTATAGCTCTCTACCATCGATACCCTGGTTTAGTCAGATATAGCGCCATGGGAAGCCTCATGGCGAAGGTGGAGCTACGCAAAAGGTTCAGAGAGATCCTTATTAAACATTTTCATTTTCTTCATATATATACCGACGGCTCCAAGACAGATGAGTGTGTGGGTGCAGCTGTATGGTCGACTGAATGTGAACTAAAGTTCAGACTGCCGAATCATGCATAGATCTTTCTTGCTTAACTTTTCACTTCAAGCTATTAAATCCTTAGAAACCACTAAAAATTAACTGCTGGGTAATATCATCCACAAGTTACATGGTGCCACCAAATCAATCAAGCTAATATGGGTACCAGGCCACTCTGGTATGCATGGCAATGAAAAGGCTGACAAATTAACCGGGTCCACTGATGGTCTGGACATCAACATAATTCGTACAGATCTCAGGTGTTTTGTGTCTCTTATAAAAACAAAAAATACATCTTCTGTGGCAAAGTGAATGGACCAGCCTTCAAATAAACAGCAAACACAAAACAACAATAGAACTGTGGGATACATCCCACAGGAAAGCAAGATGGGAGGAGGTGGTTTTAGCCCGCCTCAGGGTCAACGCCATCAGAATCACCCACCTCACTATAGAAAGAACCTTTCCTCTACAGTGTCCTCAATGCACCACCATCCTAACTCTAAACCATATGTTAATATGCCCAACATACAATATAAACAGACCTAAGAATAAGATCTAAGAATAAGAAATAAAGATTTTACATCAAGTCTTCTATCAAACGATGAAAAAATAATAAATAAAGTAATCACTTTTCTAAGGGAGACAAAGTTTTATGACCTTATATAGATTGATAGAATAAATAGGATCCATTGGCTTAATAACCTTGGCCACAGCTGCTGGTTGATAGCCAAAAAATCCAACAAAGAAAGAAGAAAAGACGTTATCTTTTTTGTATTACTAATGTTTATAACATAGCAATTATAATGTTCATAATAAAAAATTCACCATCGATATTCATAGCACTAGTAAAAAAATAAATTTTCCCGCCAATTCAAGGAAAGGTGAAATCAAGTACGGCAGAGCCATCTATGTGTAGAGACATTTCACAAAAAATATGAAAAATTATCACAGCATTTCCCCCATTTTTTATTCATTTTCCCCGGCGGCAATGGGTTAAACACATACAAAAAAGGGAATATTCAAACCAAATAGTAATCATGTACATTTTGTAAGAACAAACAAAGAAATCTAATAGATTGTTTTCAATCAACTGCTGCCGTCGGTGCAGCTTTATCGGCAGCCAACCTTTCGGTTCTTCTGAATGAACTAGATTGCCATATTCTTTGCCTGTGACCTGCAACAGAACCAGTTTTCCACAGGTCTCTACCCTGAAAAAGTCTGGCAATTTTCTAGGGGCCACAGGTATGATGACCATCGAGATTAACCAGAACAATGTCTTTATTTTGAAAATGATTGACAGTTAACGTGTCGGCCTTTCATTTGAGGGGTCGGCGGTTCGCGCCCCGCCCAGGCGCGAGATGTTGCAATTGTCGCCTGCAGGTTATTGCTGTGGCTGGGCACCACGGCGGGTAAGAACTAAGCACAGCCGAGCCAGCACCAGCTGACACACGTTAGCGAGTCAGCATTAGTCGACACAGGCCGGGCTCCCCTCATGGGCATAGCCGGGCGAGGCTCAGCTTCGCATATCCGACTTACTTATTGACAGAACTGTAGATCAATAGGGTATTTCGTCCTCAGCAAATTCATTCACAGGGAGGGTGCAGCACTATATTGCGTCCAGCCAGCAATTTACTGGGGGTAAGAAATTCATCATATCGAGATTCACTCACATCTGGAAGAGGGTGATTATCCACTAAGATATGTATTTCACACAACAGAATTTGAAGCTTAAAGAACCCTGCTCAAACTACTTTTCACAACGCTAATCATACGTTCAAAAATCGACCAGACCATGGTGACCGAAATATTAGGTTGTCACTTCGGGTGGGTTGTTCATTCCTCCGTAATTTGTGTGCATGCGCTACTTAGTTTTGTAGATTCCTGTAATAGAATAATAGATTTTGATGTATACAGTGCTATAAGATATCCTTTGAACGATAGCATATAAATGCAAAAAAAAAAAAAAAGATGTTGATGAAGGTTTAAATACATTTAGATAATGGGATAGTTAAGAAGATTAAATCTATCTGGAAAACAGATAAAAATGATAAAAGTTATAAATACATGTGCAGTGTAATACCAGGCAGATAGACCAGAAAATATATGAAGATCACTTAAAAACTAAAGCATTTCCATGAAATTGCTGAGGGAGGGAGGGGGGTGGGTAATCTCTATAACGTGACATGATTCAAAAGTAAAAAAAACAGGGATCGACATTCACAAAATCACACGTATTGATATAAAAGTAAACAAATGTGAAATACACATACATACACACACACACACAATTATATATATACATATTGTAAATATATTCCAATATAAAGTAATAATAGAATTTTAGTTAACTATTCACGAATGATAAACAAAACGAAGGTGACTGAAATGAGGGAACTATACACAACTGCGCGTATGGCTGGGCCGAGGAGCAAGGAAGTGCTTAGACAATTGGTTAATTTGCATTTTATATAATTATATAAACGGAACAGTTAAAGGGGTCGTGGTGGAAACTATATTAATGGGTGATACTGATTAATATATTAGTATATTGACATGTAATATCTTTGTTTTGAGAATGTTTGTGACGTAAGCGAGGTAACGTCGGAGAGGTGGCGCATTCCTCGCTTCTGCCTTCATGCCGGTGTCACGAGTAACGGCTCCCGCCCGAGTGGAGATCGCCCCGCAACCACCCGAGACGCCCGTCTGCGGCAACCGCTGGGAGACAGATCTCCGGACTAGTTTAGCGACCGAGGAAAAGACACTAATAAATCAAAGATTTAACCCATTCGCGCTGGGTGTCACGTATAAGAGACGTACCCACT